TATGCAATTTCTAAAGTATAAACCAAGCATTCCCAACCTCCTCACATTTCCAATTATCCGCGATAAGTCTAATGAAATCCTCATGTTTAGCCCAAATATTAAGGTAACGAAAATGATAAGTAGAAATCTTTTTAAAAGAATCAAAGGAAAGAAGAAGGGGGGAATGGAGTCAGATCTGCTTAGAAGTTGGACCTGCGAAAAACCATAGGAGGAAAGCCAAACTTGATTAGCAAAACATCTATCAAGCCTTTCAAAAAGCTTACCTCTTTTCCAAGTGCACTTAGAGCCGACGAAACCCAAATTAGTAGTGTCGGCACTGTTCATATAGTCAATGAATTTATTAGTTAAAGTGGTATCAATACTCCTACCACCTAACTTTTCAGACTCATGCATAACCATGTTAAAATCCCCTCCAACCATCCAGTTCTGATGAATATTCTTACCGATCTCAGAAATTTTGTGCCAGAGATCGAATCTAGCCACATTAGAGGTTCCAGGGTAGACAAAAGTAAAGTGACCCAAAAAAACATCCATAGAAAAGAAAGTGTGCACAAACTGTCTATCGTCAATGGTGATGTTCATCGTAATATGCTTCCACCACAAAAGCCAAATTTTGTTAGAACAATTGAAAAAGTACGAGAAATTCTTAAATTTGCCCACAATACGCTTAAAAATTCTACTCTGATTCACTGAAACAAAAGGATCCAAAATAACAAAGATATAAAGCTTATGCACCCTACTTAGGTTTTTAAGTCTATTAAGGGAGTGAGGATCCGCAGCTCCCCTGATATTCCAAATCAAGATATTAAACATGGGTAGACACATGTCCCTTCCTAGAAGATCTAGTTCGGGACTGTCCATTTTCACCATCCGAATAATATTGATTTGTGTTCGACAAGTTGTTTCCACTCGCAAGAAAAGGTGTTTCTGTTTGACCTCTAAACTTACGCCTACGATATTTTTATACATGTCATTCATCTCTAAGAATTTTTGAAAAATCTTCTAAAGGAGTGTCGGAGAGAGCATCAGATTGATGAGAAAATGTAGAGATATTACCCATATTAATAGCATCAGGCAAGGAAGCCGAGGAAGGGCGAGCCTCAATCAAGGGATTAATAGGCGGGTCCAAATCAGGCAGAGCAGGCATCACCCGCCTCATATCAGCCAGCTGAACCAATTCATTTGATGAAATAGGATTAGTAGGATTAATATTTCTAACAGCATTCAGATTAGCAGGAAGGGGGGCAGTGTCTCCATCAAATTGTAAACCATCAGGAATACCCACAGGAGGGCCAGAGACATTGACAGTGGGTTGAGGCACATCAACAGTAAGCCCAACCGTAATATCATTTTGATCCGCAGGAGGTACAACAACAGACATGACACGCTGGGGACGTGTGTCGTCCCGTTTTCTAAGTTCAGGGTGCATCTTGAAACATTGTTCCTGATTGTGGCCAAACATACAACATTGTGTGCAATAGGGGGCATGATTTTCTAACAAAACTTGTTGCCAATACCCGTTATGTGCCGAATTGATCCATACCTCATTCGGAGGGGTAAAGTGACATCTTTTTCAATTAGAACACGAGTCATAGCCGGCCTCGTAAGATTTTATGTGGGAGCATCCAACTTCAAAAGCCTCCCGAACATGGCAGCCAAAGAAAATAAAATTTTATGATTAAAAAGATGCACCCTTAATCCCGGGAGACGAAGCCAGACAAGGATTATCGAAGCCTCAGCCTTAGGATCAAAGTTAGCCGACCATTTCAAAACCGTCATCCTGTAATCTTCGAACCAAATCACTCTCTTCGCAAAGCGGCGCGTATAATCCTCCTCATTGGAGAGTTGAATTAAAATATGTCTGCCATCAAGAGGACCTATCTTCCATTCTCCCGTAAGCCTCATAAGCTCGAAATGTTTACAGAGAAATTCCATCTTTAGATGACCATACAAAAATTTCCCCACAAGATGAAGATTAAAGGAAGAAGCTAGATCACCATTTTAAGCGTCAGTAAGAAACAGAGCAAGCTTTCCCCCCTTACGGCCCGGTTGTCGAACAAAGGAGTTCTCAGAACCGAGAGCGAGAGAGTCGGAAAAAGAAGGGAAATTTTGGAACACCATCCGCGGTCACGCTAGCATACTATCGAGCTTTCCTGCCACCATCTCCCTTCCCGTCGGCTGTAACGCCGGCGAACGAACGAGCCATATCAAAGTCTCAACGAAATCGCCATGAAATCGCAAACCCTAGCAGAGACGGGAGCGACGAAATCGCGCATATTAATACACACTTATATATATATATATATATAAAGGAACAGCCAGAGGCTTTTATACGAGCTTCCAGCAACTCCTAATATGTCAACCAATTTGAGTACCGCCTACTTAAAGCACACGTCGTCAGAGAGGGTTCGAACCTCTGACTTGAGGGGTCTTACACCAAGGCGCACGCACGCACACACACACACACACACACACAAATATATGTACAATGTCATCTGTTTCGATTTCGCTTTGTTAGGGTTACGCCATTATGGCGAAACCTGGTATCTCTTCATCGATTTGCTCTTCATCGTATCTCCTCTTCTCCGTCGTGCTTCGTCTGTGTCGAGCGGCTTCGACTTCTTCGTCGTGCATCCTCTGTCACGCTCGAAGAAGTAGAGGTGTCGTGCCGAGTTGCTCTTCATCGCGCGTCTGTCAATTGTGCCTCCTGCGGTCGCGCTTCTGCAGCTCCCGGCTTCATTTGGCTCTTTTACGCTTGAAGATTTTGCATCGTGTGGCGTCGCTTCTTTTTCGCGCGTCTTCCATTCTCAGTTGCGCCTCCTGCGGTCTCCCACAGCTCCAACTTTTGTGGCTCCGTCTGTTGCACTCGCGTCTGGAACTACCCGCAGTCCAAACTCAAGCAGCTTGCCACTGTTCAATTCCCTTCCATGGCTACTGCTCCTTCTCAACCACCGACTACTACAATTTTAAACCTTGGGAAGGTTTTTTTTGTTGATATGGTTGGCTCTTTGAAATCAAATCAGGTTTTCCTCAGCTTTACCATGAATCATTCGAAGACCATGAGGACTGCAACCTTATTAAGAAGACGGGTAGGAAGAGTGACAAACTAGCTGTATTCTTCTCTAATGTTGAAGTTTTCAACCTGGTTAACAAGTTCAAATTCACACTCATTGGGAAGTTTCAATCGAGACATCCCAAAATGGAAGTCGTTCGAAAGACCTTTGAAGATCTCAAACTATTGGGACTTTGGAAGGTTGACGTCTTTGATGGGAGACATGTGATGATACAATTATCTAAAGTGGAAGACTATGTAAAAATATTTTTCAAAAAGTTTATGACAATATAAAAAATATATATATGAAACTGCTTAAGTGATCTCCTGAATTTGACCTTAGTCAAGAACCACATATAGTTCTAATCTGGTTTAAACCACCTGGCCTAAAGTTGCACTGCTTCAACCACCAATTCCTCTACTCAATTGGAGCTGCACTAGGGAGACCTATGAAATTGGATACACCCACCTTTAATCTAACCAGGCCTTTAGTTGCAAGAACTCTTGTTGAAAAGAATATCTTTCCCTCATGTGCAGAAATTGGGCTGGGTACTACCCACAATGGGTATTGGCAGCCAATTATAGCACAACAAAGACCCTACTACCGCAATCACTACAAACAATTTAGGCACGCCCCTCTCAAACGCTTCAGGCTTCACATACGTTTGATATCGGCAGGTCCTAACAACATAATCCATGTAGAGGAAAATATAGCATACACTGTTAATCTTCCAGAATTGTTGAAGGAGAATTTGACTCATAAGGCTACTCCTAATCAACCAGACCAGCAACTTCCGCCTACTGTTGTTGAGGCAGCTCTTCCTCAGATTACAAATTCTATGAATTTTGTTGTAGCAGATGCTAGCCGAAGTGTCTTGGAACCACATATTGCGAGGGAAGAGGGTACTCAAGTTATTGAGGAAGTGTCAGGATTAAAGTGTGTTGCAGGCTAAGTCAGATCTGCAGTTTAGCTCCATCGAAGATCTACCTATTTTTAATACGGGACTACCTCTGACAAATGAAAAAAATGTCTGATCTCAGTAACTCTCAGGATGACTGTATCATTGTTTAAGACGGAAGCCCACATCTTAGTATGTTGTTGGACTCCCTCCCTAAATCAGGAGAAGAGGCAGCGATATATCCACCGACTACACCCACCATGATTAGGAGTTGTTTCTTTTTGTTTTATATTTGGAGAATACGTTTGTAATCCTTGTGAGTGGGCCCTTTGCAGCCACTCACTAAAACCTTTGTATCATCTCTTTTTATCAATGAATTTTGCCTTTTCAAATATACATATATATATATATATATATATATATAAATATAGTTGTGTAAGAATATAAGTGGTCTGCAATCAATCCATAATTTTATCAATCACATACATAATGTCTTAAATGCAAAATAAATTCATTCTTAATTTTCCAAATTAACTTTAAATATTTTAAAACATATCTTCTAATAAATAATATTAAAATAAAAAATTTAATTGATCAAGTAATAAATATAATTTCAGATTGAGTGAGTTCTTACGGCATAATTATTAATTATTTCAAAATTTTCATTTAAAAAAAGGTGATGAATGTTGTGAAGAGATTTATTAATGTAAATTAAAAATTATAATTTTTCAAAAAAAAAAAAAGAAGTTTATATACAAACCACATTTTTTTTAAAGAAATACATAAAAAGATGAATATATGCTTCAACTCATGTAGATCATTGATAAAATTAATGAGAAACATAATCTAGAATCAATTTGGAACAACTTTTAATAATCTGGGACAAAATTGGAGTATTCTAAAATTTGGGACTAAATTGAACACTTCTAAATATTCGGGGTACTATTTTTGCCTTGTATATATGTATGTATGTATGTATGTTTTAAATCTAGTATCAATCTCAGGTCAAATTCACTGCACTCTAAATTTCCAATTTTGGGAACAACTGGAACATGCAACCAGTAAACCTTTTATTGAAGCACTAAAAATAGTGTTTACAATGAGAAATTCTCCTTCAAAATCAAATAAATCGAATCTAATAATAAAAAAAATAAGGTGGCATTTCAAGGAGAATTTTCTCCCTTCAACTCGTATAAGTAATGAAGGATGAGAATAGGTTTCAAATGACTGGCCTTATTTCTCCCAAGCCACCCTAAAAGAAAAGTTGCTCCAAGTCCACGCCAAGTTCAAGCTTGTTACTTTTTAATTATAAACCTGAAAAAATTAAATTAATTTCAACATTATTTATCATGCTAAATCGTGCCCAACATATTAATATCACCTTAAGCAATAAAATTAAAAGAAAGAAATTGATGACCAAATTATTAGGAAGACTAAAGATGCTTGACCAACCCGACAAAACAAGACGAGCAGCTTTGCAACCACATAGGAAAAAATTCAGGTCAAAATGGGTCTCAAAATTATTACATTTACTTTAAGATATATATAATAAACGAAATCAATCAAAATGTGAGTTACACTGTTCTCAAAACAAAACATTTTGAGATGTATCCCGATGTAGTTTTATTTATTTTTTATTTTGCTGAATTAAAAGGGTTATTGAATTAAAAAAAAAAGAGTTTTCGTACAGAACTTGGAGGCTTGTTGGCTGGCACAACGAGGTACACATTCGACTGCCCTATTACTTAGGTGAATGATAGGTTTTATTTTTTTTAAATACGTCATTGAACAATAAATTATGACAAAAAGGGTCTTCCTAATAATTTTGTGTGCAGATCGTTTAATGATCTTAGCAATAACCATGTGAAACATAGTGAGATCAAACGAGAAATACAAAATAATCGATCCATAAAAGCTAAATCCTCATACTGAATACATAGAAGGGAGTTTTGCTCCTTTAGTGATCAGAAAGTAGAATCAATAAATCATACCAAACAAGAAAATAAATAACATAAGAAAAATTTTCAAATTGTAGGTGTCAGCTAACATCATGAAAATCATAGTTGTTAATATCTTGTATTCAAATTCTACATATATCAAAGTTATGCCCTGAATCTCACCATTCAAAAAAAAAAAAAAACAAACAAAACTAGCAAAAACGCTGATTTATTTTCGCAACACAAACATTTAAACACAAAACTACTTTTAGCAACATAATCTATCATTGCTATGCCGTGTGTAAAAAAAAATGCCAAAAAAATTTAAATTCCTCAGAGAAAAGAATGGTAAGATCCAAGTCATTTGATATTGCTCTTTTTTTTTTTTTTTAGTCTCTCCTTACATCCTCTTCCCTAATTTTTCAGAAAGTTCAAGCGTTAGCAACCATATACATAGAGCATCAAAAAAAAAAAGAACCAAAAACTTGAAAAGGTAAAATATATTATTAAAATTCTAAGAAAAAGCAATAAAAGCCAAAAATGATACATGGCGACATATAAAATAGATTAAAATGTGTGTGATTCATATTTTTGTGAGTACAATTCATAAATATTTGAAAGTGATTTACTCATGTATGAAACACTCACCAATTGACAACGATCAGCCATAGATTCAAGGTGCTTATGCCCCTTTTGAGAAAACGAAATGACCATTGACACCAAAGAAGTTGGCAAGCGCAAACACAGCAGACTCTGATAGAGCTGACCCTGGACGGAGGCAATCAGGTAAGTTCGGAAGACATGAAGGAAAATATTCCTCTTGCTGGAATGTTAGGCTGTAAAGCGCCAAAACAGATCGACAGAAAATAAACCTGCCAAAATCAACGAGTAGTTGTTTAAAGATGTATCAAGTATGACGATCCTTGTGGAAAATAATTTTTGCTCGACAAAGAAAAACATGTTGCTTTTTGGGGATTTTACCGTACTTTTGGTCATTCTATTTTTATAGAGGAGGTTTGTACTCATTTTGTTGTGTTGGAGACAATTATAGCTACCATAAAATCATAATGAAGTTCGCAGGAGTGGCAACAAGACATGGCCGTCGTTGGGTGAGCGTGTATTAAATTTTTTTGAATGTTTTGTGTGTTGATCTTGTGCCTATTTTTTGTTTTTTTCTTTTTTCAATTTAGGCAATTGAATTAGGTTATTCCTACTTACCAACACCGGTTGACATCATATAAATGCCAAACTTGGTAATTGGAGCATTATTTGAAGTTGAAAATAATGTAAATTTGATGCAAACAAAGCAGTGCAAATGCCCTGCATGGAAAAATTCAAAATATAAATGGCTTAGGGATGAATAAACTGAATCCTTTTTTATGGGAATTAAACTCTGGTAATTTTCAAGATAAATACAGGCAAAGCTACAATATTTTTCATATTTTTAATGCAAGGAGAGCCACAAAAAAGACATTGCAAGTTCGAAGAATAAAATGAAGTTGCATAAAGTACTAACCTAACAAGATGGAGATGTTGCAAAGAAGTGTAGTTATGAAAGTTGATAGTTAAAATACCGTAGCTATAAACCCACAATAGACCAAACTTCTAGGTCAAAATAAAAATTAAAGTCAAAAGGGATTTGATTTATATAAGAATATTGATATATGGGCTAATGCTTGGATTATATTTACGCACTAAAAATCTTGCAGATACATCTATAAAGCATGTTGAACATAAAGCCCTCCTATTGTGTGCTTGAACCAATGGGAGATCATGTAATGCGAATGAGTTTCCAAAAATAGATGTCCTCGGCTTGGTAGCAGCTTGGATAAGCCGAAGGGACCTAAAGAGCCCTTTTTATCAATGATAACCCCTCTAATGAGATGACAGAAATTTAACTAAGGAATGAGAAACGAGACTTCAAGGTCCACCCCACAACTAAGGGAAGAAGTATTTAGATTATTGAAAAGCTCTACCCCAGGCTCCCAAGAAATCCCAAAAAAACTTCCAAAATAGTCATGAACTACAATGTTCTATCCCACCTCCACAAATTACCAACATTACAAACATCAACAATATCTTCATAATATCTAAAGACAATCAGATATGCTTATCAAAGCTTTGCAAAAGCCTAAGTAGCACGAAGCATTCTTTGTGAATTAGAGCATAAATGAGGCCTATACAAAGCATTTTTTCATATAACAGAGCAGAGCAGTACAAAGCATTAAAGATTTAAAATCGCATAGCTCGTTATTATAATCACTTAATGGCAAACATTTTCTTTAAAATTATGCTCAATATTGGCCGAAGTGTATTCCACTCGAGCAGCAACACCTCACCAGAAGAAATAAGCATATCCTATTAGTTTACTTTAGTAAACTCAACTCTTCATGCATAAAATATAATGAAACTTTCAAGGAAATATTTTAATATAGGTTTTTACATACATAGCACGTGAAACAATAAAATTTACATTTTTGACACTCGAAACTTAAATTTTACGGGTTAGGCACTCCGTCTTTTTCCCGTTCCCTCTTCCGTCCCATAGTTGGAAAATCCAAAGTTGTCAGAGTTCATTAAATTGCCAAATTACCGTTGTTTGCATCAACGCGGCCTCCAGGCCGCTAAACACAGCGCATCTATGCTCAAAGACACTCTGAATCCACTATGAGGATATCCATGCCACCTATACCTGATGACTGCTGCTTTAGCCATCCGTTGCAACCTGCTCCACTAAGGTTAAGTCAGGCGAAGCATGCGCATGCCAGAAGAAGAGAAGGTCGTGGCCACAATGGAGAAACCTCAAACTATGCCTGTGATATCAAAATTTCGCACCATTCTTCGTGGAAATTCGTTGCGGAGATTTGAGACCCCACGGGCAGATTCGGGGTTGGCTCGTCACTTTCAACACTGCTTGGGAGGTCGCGAAGGTCTGTGATTCTATCGCCATACAGCTCCGCGGCTCCAACGCCACCATCAACTTCTCTCCTCTACCGCCGGCAATGAACCACTCTGTCTTTGGTGGTTATGATTCCAGTGAAGACTCAAACAACACTTGCTCGCTTATCCCTGTTCTCGGAGGTTTCCCTTTCCTTGTTGCGGAAGTGGAAACTGGTTTGCCTCAATCTTCTTCCTCATCATTTTCTAAGGCTAAAGTGGGAGAAAATAATGTTGTTTCAAAGAGAGCAAATGCAAGAGAACGAAATCACAAGCGCTTCAGATTGTAATCTTATTCCTCATCTTCACACCCTCGTCTTCCCTTATGAGAGAATTAACGAAAAAGAGAACGGAGAAGAATAGCGTGCTATTTCTGTGCTTATTAGAAGATTTTAGGTGCTTTTTTATGTAAATATATAAGTTTAGATGTGAAATATGTGAATAGGAAGGTTTTGAGCGTTATGTACGTAAAAACTCCTTTAATATATCAATCCAATTTTAGATAAAATCTCCCATCATGGAATTGCATAAAATCATAATTAAATTGATCTCATTTAAATGGCAACATTTTGTAGTTTTAGGAGTGTTCGTGGTTGTGGATTGTAGTGAGGAAACTGCAGATGGTTGGGACAATTATTAATGGCAGGCGAGGGGTCGACTGGTTGTTGGAAGGGTGGTGGTGACGGATGGCAACAAGGTGGGAGGAAACTGGGTGGTAGGCGGCTGCCGGAAAACAATGAGGGGGTTGTTTTTTGGATGGTTGTAGAAAATACGGTTATCGAGGCAACAGAGGTAAAGTTGCGGCGAAGTGGGAAGGTCAATGATAATCACCACCTCAAACAAGATACAGTCACCTGATTTATTAAATAATAGAAAATTTAAGCGGTAGTAAGTCGTCGGATACAACCCTAGAAGAGAAAATCTGGACAATGACGACCGTCCAGATAAAAAACAAGAAGGAAAACACCCTAAAACATGATTACAATTGTTCTGTTTCATTTACATGAAAGAAGAAACGAAGAATCGAAGAAGAATCGAGGAGTTGGGCAACCTATGAGGAAGGAGAGGAAGCGAGGGAGTTTGATTTGGGGGAGAAGGAGACAAGCAAAATGGAGGGATAGAATGAGGGATAGAAAGAAATGATGAAGAGAAAATAAAGAGGGGCAAAAAGGAAATCATCTCCATATATCTCACATGACTGGTCACCACTCGGTCCTCAACGTGGGAAGCGAATCATCTCCATATACTTTGGCTTGCTTGTTGGCATAATCATTAAGATTATTTTCTTCTATGTTCTTTTCAAATTTAAGAAATAAAAATATAATGGTCATGTACAAGATTAAGGAACTTCTCAGAAGAAATGAAGGAAAGGTAAAATTCTTCAACATTAAAAAAAAAGAATACAAACTGAAGGATAAACAAATTTAGTGGGGGGTTCAGACAGTTCACTGGACCAATGGGCAAAGGCTAAAAGCACATGCAACTAAATGAGTACAAACATTTCAAAATAATGAATAAAAGCAAGCTGAAGAAGTTACCTAAGAAGAAGTCGCCTCAAAAATGGATCGCCCAAAACCCCAATCCATATTGGATGCAGTTCACCACATGCTAGTAAAGCATTTTCCCATTCATACAACGATGATAAAAGTAACTCTTCAGCATCGTTATATGTTTCCTGAAATAAATTGTCCAAATAAGCACTGAACAAAGCACCATAGAAGTGTACAACCTTGAATCAAAATAAACCTTAGCAAAATCAGGCAGCAGTTGGTCATTCCAAAATTACAAACATTTAATGAAAAATTTTTGCCATTTCCTTATATGAGTACAAAGATTAAGATTGGCAATTTATCTTCCAAGGAAACTCAGCCAATGCAGAAATAAATAAATAATTATTTCTTCTAACAGCAAGTGAATAAGCATGGCACGATAAATTTCCACAGATTTGTATAGATAGTCAAAGATCAAAATCAACAATCTCGATTTTCTTATTTTGGAAGCCCATGTTTGAAATATAAAAAGATAGAAATATTACAATTTATTTATATTTCTCTGGTTCACTCTGAGAATGGCATTCATGTGTTTATATTCTCTCTGGTTCACTCTGAGAATGGCATTTATGTGTACATAGTAGAAAAGAATATACTTGCCATTTCCAAGTTAACGCCAGAAACACCCAGCAAGATGCAGAAAGCTTGAACTGGAGCTGTTAGGAACAATGTGAATTGGCTAATATTTTGATTGCGGGGAGACTCGCTAGTAGCTCCCATGGCTGGAGCCTGAGATTTTGGAGAGAGTAACATAGCCATGGTCTCTCCTTTCTCATCCCCATGAATGACCTGTGAAAAATCCATTCTTCAGCTCAAAAACTTGTCAAACTGTAACCTTGATGATTTCAATACTGTTACATGTTTGATGAATGACAACCAATAACTCAAATTAAGGTGTATCATTAAAACAAACATAATACTAAATCAAACTGAACCATCAAGATGCATTTTGTTCAAACAATTCCCTAACATGCATCCTCACTACCACCCTTCTTCATGTTACCACCTCATGGATCCCAGACGTCCACCTTAATTTCTGCCCTCTTTTTTACTTTCAAGATGATCTGTAAGATTCCTGCTACCAACCCACCAATTCGTGGGGCTATTGAATCATGTGAATTCACATATTGTGTATATTTCCTAGGATAAAATAAATTATATACATGTTAGAATGAAAGAAACAAGAAGCAATTCTACAATTCCAGTTAACTCAAGGAAAATCATTTATAAGAGTCCTCTCCTCTTTCTTTCTTCGTGATTTTTAGAGATTCTTCAAATTTCTTATTCTTTTCAACTCCGGCAAACACACTGTTGCTACATTTTCTTTCATGGGTTTACTCATATTCCCAACGTAACTCAAGTTTCCTTAAGATTGAGGGATGCAATTCAAACGCAGCATGAGAAGTAAAATCTCCATTAAATAAACCAGTAAAATGGAAAGAGCTGTGTGAGTCACTGCAATCGGTTCGCTTGTTCTTCAAGAGAAAGGAAAACTGGACGGTTTGCTTAGCATTGTTCCAGAGTAAGAAGATCCCAAGTAAAGATTTTGGATGAAAAATGCTCTTTGATAATGTTCTGGTTATGAAATTCTATGATTGCGGAGATAAATGAGACATTCGTGTTCCGCAATTCAACAACAAGAATATGAGATAACATGATAAATCAAACATATTTCAAAGTTAAAAATATTCCACAAATCTATTTAGCTAAGACCAAGATATTATACATAAAGTAAGAAGTCCATCATAGAATATTCCAACCCATTGCAAAGCCTATGGCAAGAGATGAATCATTTTCAACTTATCCAAATGTAGACCAAGATATTATACATAAAGTAAGAAGTCCATCATAGCATATTCCAACCCATTGCAAAGCCTACGGCAAGAGATGAATCATTTTCAACATATCCAAATGTAAGTAAAGATACAACCTTCTTAAATAGTTTGTTTAAAAAGCTAAAGTATATGGTTTCTTTGTGTTGGATTAAATGTTGAATTTGATGTTGTAAGCACATAAGTTTTTAAAAGCAAAAATTTAACATTACTAAAGGAAGTCTTTGTCGTCATCAAAAGAGAAGGAAAAAGAAAAATCACGATCACCAGCAACCAAGTGGGGGGCTCAGCCTTCGTATCAAAGGTTGTTGACACCAAGAACTTCGAATCGAAGCCCCCTCCTATTGAGGATAACAAGCAACCAACCCTATCAAAGATGATTAATATGGCTACTAAAAGGTGCACATATTGCAAAAAGACTCGACATGCTCAAAAAAAATATTAAAACAAAGAACATGTTGGGAACTTCTTGGTAATCCTCAGAATCAACATTGGACAGCACAAGAAAGACAAGCAAAACAGCTAAGACATGTATATATAATATAAGCGAGAGTAAGTATACCAACAAATCATTAAATGAATTCCACAAATAAGAAATAAAAATGCTAAAAAATTTGTTATGCATATTGGAAATAGCATCTGACACAAATACTTGTATACTAGCATTTTTAGGTATCACATCCTCTTCCCATGCCATCAAATCTCAAAATTGCCCATTTTTAGTTTCCAGATCATTGATACATGAGCTGCAAATCATATGAATAAGGCCCCGTTTGGGACCCCAGTTTTGCGGCTTTTACATTTCGGAAACGGAGAAGTGGCATTTGAGAACCCTTTTTATTTGAGCATTTCGTGGATGGGGAGCCGCATTCGGTCGAACGCTAAATGGAAGGGGAAGAGGGCATTCCGCGGCTAAAATTCTGTTGCGAGGTACCAAAGATGTCGTTGTCCCTTTGGAATTCTGGTAATCTTACTCTTATATCCTCACATATACCCCTCACCACTCTCCTCCTTTGTCACCTGTGCCTTTAGAAAATATGAGCAAAAGATCATCAAGCACTTTGAAAGTTTCACTCTGTTATTGTGGCGATAGGTGCGTTTAGTACCAACCCAGAAGGGAAGACGGCTACGGGAGAAAATTTTATCGTTGTTCCCGAAACAGGACTCCTGCAGATTGTGACTACTTTTGTTGGGTTGATGACACTGACAAGATACCTCCAGACCGTGATCAATCGATGAGAGATGCAGGGATGGAGAGAAGATTGTCCCGAAGACTTGATCATTGAGATTTCAAAACAAATATCATTTTAGGCTTACTGATTACCGTTGTTGTCCTCATTATTATAGTCATTTACTTCAAATAACTAATCCTTTTTTATGTATTAGAGTATTTGGGACTGGACTGTTAGTTTTTTTAGCAATAAGACATCATTATGTTATTTAGTTCCTAATATTTTAAAAACTGTACTTTTTTCAATATATTACATATACAAGGGCAAAATAGTTTTTCTCATCAGAAACAGCAGCAGTACATCAGATCTCTCAAACAGACATTTCTTTCTTCATCAGCAGCTTGCTAACAGCTCCAAAGCTCTTCTCTGGGAAGCAGCTTTACAGCAGCTTCTTAAAAAAAATAGCAGTCTGTCACAAACAAAAAGTCCCACATCGGTTGGGTGTAGGGCCGAAAAGCAATATTTAAGTCTTGGTCTGTCCACCACTCCGAAGAGTTTTTTTGGGGAAGTGACAAGTGGTATCAGAGCAGATTAATGTCTGTCAGGTATGTGGACTCTCCATGGTCCAATGGGACCCTCAAAGGAGCCGATCTGAGACAAAGGCGTCACATGATTGGGTGGAGAAGAATGTCACGGACAAAAAGTCCCACATCGGCTAGGTGTAGGGCTAAAAAACAGTATTTAAGTCTTGGGCTGTCTACCACTCCGAAGAGCTCTTTTGGGAGGTGACAAGTGATATCAGAGCAGATTACTGTCTGTCAGGTGTATGAACTCTCCATGGTCCAATGGAACCCTAGGTGGAGCTGATCCGCGACGAGGGCGTCAAGTGATTGGGTGAAGGAGAATGTCACAGACAAAAAGTCTCACATCGACTAGGTGTAGAGCCGAAAAGCAATATTTAAATTTTGGGTTGCCCACCACTCCGAAGAGCTCTTTTGGGAGATGACAAGCCGCTTCAAACGCACCCTAACTCATCTCATAAATTTATTTTATATATGTGTCATCCTAGCAACAAGAAAATCATCATTATCAATGGATCCTTAATAAGAAAAATAGATTAAAATATATTCTTATAAAGAAATCTCTCACACTCTTAAATATCCTTCATGAACCTATATTATTTATTAGTAATTATCCATTCAAAACCTAAAGATTCTAAGTATAGTATTGAGTTTTTATCTCATATTGTGTCTTTAAAAAAATGAGTACAAAAAGTATGATTACGATAGCTAAAAAAAGGACAACCTCTAGTAACTTTAGAAAATCCAATAATCAAGAAAACTCTGTCTAACCTTCAGTATTATCTCTCCTTCCAGAAAATCTTAAATTCAGTAAAAATAGAATCTAGTTTAAACACTTATTTCTTATTCATGCATCCTTTATTATTTTCAAAGCTATGTTCTTTTTATTATTCAAATAAATTAATATTGAAACCATAAATTTATCAATTTTACAAAGAGTTTATTTATTTTTGTCTAATTCATAATATTTATGAGGATCATCTTCTACGCTTAACATATCAGGAGCTCCATGCTTTGTATGCATAATGAATCTTTTGATTAAAAGAAAAATGATATGAGCATCACAATTCTCACCTTTTACAATATGAACAGATATCAATTTGGTGTTGAAATGAAAAAGAAAAAGGTTTAAAAAATGTCAAAGTTGACGCAGAGCTTAGTCTAAACCGGGCAGTTCAGCAAGGATGGTGCAGTCCAGTATGTATAATGAATCTTTTGATTAAAAGAAAAATGATATGAGCACCACAATTCTCACATTTTACAATATGATCAGAAATCAATTTGGGGTTGAAATAAAAAAGGAAAAGGTCTAAAGATATCAAAGTTGGAGCGAAGCTTAGGCTAAATCGAGCAGTTCAGCAAGGACGGTGTCGGTCCAGGAGAACTCCCCACCCCAAACCCAGTCCAGTAGAACGCTTGTTGAGTTAGGGTTTAGTCTTGTTTTCTTATTTCAATTTCTCCCTCCATGCATTTTCCATTAATAGGTTCATATCTGAGGACAGATGGTGCTTCGGCTATATCCCACTCTGAACTGGTGACGACCTCTACCTAGTTCCCCCACACAATCCCTCTTGAGGCCATTGTCTTTCAGTCGGTGCATGTCCTTCTTGCTACCAGCCAATGGCCACCCTGCCACCTCCTTCCCTTCCAGATCCTAGTCGCTGACCGCCCAGCTACCTCCCTGCTTCCAAACGCCAGCCACCCTACCAACTCCTTCCAACCTGCCTTCAACCACCAAACACCCAAACCCCCCTCCTTCCCTGTTTCCAACTGTCGGCCAACACTCGTCGTCCCAGTTGTCATCTCAAACCATCCCCATTCAATCCTTCTTACCTACCAAGTCGCCAACCTTCCTTCCTCACCCAGTTAAACCCCTCCAACCGCGACACCACCACTCTCGTATATGAAGTGTCATCAAGTTGAAGCAGGGCGCCTCCTTTTGGTGGGAAAACTTGAAGAGGTAGACGAAGAGATAAGGCAGTGATAAGATTACTAAGTGAGAAAATATAAAGAAAGAAATGCAGAGGAAAAATCTTCCACCTTTTTACCGCCAGCATATGTTTCTGAGACTCCACCACATGCAGCAGAAAGACCTATCAGTTGAGGAATTCACAGCGCAGTTCTACCAGTTGCGAATGAAGTGTGAGTTGGTCGAGCAACAGGAACACACCATAACCCATTATCTAGGGGGTCTGACCCGCTAA